CCCACACAGAGGGCTGGGGGTCCCCAGGCCCTGCTCCTGCTGCGCTGCGCTGCCAGCGCACGGCATCCCGGACTCATCCTGCGTCACTGGTCTGCAGCAAGAGGAGCTGGGGGAGTGCTGGTTCTGCCCCGCCACCGCTCCCCGTTCTTCTCCCCCCACCTCCCAGGCCCTGCAGAGTCAGAGCCCAAACCTCCCCCAGCAGAGCAGGGCCCGGGGGCATTGTGCGCCCACAGCCGGCAGGAGGGACAGGAACGCGTAGCTCAAACCTCTGGAAAAGGCTCAAGGTAGAAACCGCCCTGCGGATGCTGCAAGGAAGCACCAGTCTTGCAAGAGCACCCATCTCCCCCCAGGCTGCTGCTGCACAGAGCTGGACCCCCCAAACCGCCCCTGCGGCGGGCGAGCCTCAAGCGTGCACGCGTGCAGAGCTGCCTTACCGCTGTACGTGTCTTGCTGCCTGTTGAGGTCAGGGAGTGAGCTGGGCTGTGACGGAAGTGTGACATGGTTGTGGAGCATGCTGGGGTTGCTGGACAACCCGTCTTCGGGGTGACCTCCTCCCACCTACAGCAGAACAAGCAGAGCAAGCCTTGAGGGGGAGAAGTGCCACGGCCAGCGGGCATGGGCACAGTCACAGTCACCCAGAGCGCAGCCGCAGGGCTCCGCAGGCCAGGCTGAGGTGCAGCCACGTGCCCTCCTCGCACACTCCCACCCCGCAGAGTGCGGACATGCAGGAGGGAAGAGCCAACCTGCTCCAGCACCAGCTCCCCTCGGGGACCGTGGCGGGGGCACTGCAAAAAGCAGCTCCGTGCCCTGCACACCAGCTGGAGCAAGCAGAAAGCCCCCACCAGTGCTGCCTCCCCTTGCCCTGGAAAAGCCTCTCTCTGCCTGGATGCCAGGCTGGCACACTGGAGAGGACACCCTGCCTGGGCTGCACGTGTCCTGTCTCCACCAAGCTCTGCCACCTCCCCAGTGCCAACAGAGCAGGGGACATCCCAGCAGCAGGAACTTTGCTCCAAAGGGCCTGGACGCAAAGGGCGAGGATCAGGCAGCCTTTCTGAGCCTGCACCCCCCGAGGCTGCGCTACGGCAGGCAGGGG